CAACCACGCAGGCTTTTAGATGGCCTGTCAAGCATCCTTACTTTGGACAACCTCGTAGGCTCGTGCAAAGTTGTCTGGCTGCATGCCGATCTTCACAACTTCTTTGATAGGAGGTGAACAAAAATGGAAATCATTCAAAATCATTCGCCGTTAGGGTAGAAACATCTTCCTTTCAGATCTTGATCTACGGCCATGTACGGTCAACTTAGTTTTACTGTACAGTTTTGCCTTTCGGCTAATTGGTGATCTAGTGGCTTCATTTTCGGGGTAGAAGCTGTATATAAACGCCATGTTTTTTGCCAAATAAAGTTGTCTTCCTCAGTTTAGCCACAGGCCCCCCTTTTGTCTCCTGATTCTCGTGACTCGGCGAAATATCAGGTGAGGGGCAGAACCGCCGTGTTACTCCTTTCCGGTCCAAGTATCTCGTTGGCTTGTCACTCATTTTGCTTATCATCAGGACCCACGTCCTACCCCGGCTCGGCCATATTAGTTTTGAACCACTGAGCCTCAAGAAAGACATCGTTTTCTGAAGGAGAGTTTGTAAATGGGCGTAAATGATATTCTCAGGGCTGCAACGCAAGTCAAACAGCCATTGGCAACCTGATCTAGGCATTTCTGTCCTTCTTTAAGGTGTTTTAAGGACCGCTCAAAATATTCCAGCTAATGTGATTCGCCAATATCTGGGAAATGCTTTCTGAGGTTCCCTGCGATGAGTGTGCTGGACACCGAAGCAGAAATACTCAACAGAAAGTAGAATCCGGGTTCCATAAGTGTTTTTCGATGCTCATGTCCTTGACCTAGGAGATACATGACCGGGTGATTTAGCCAGTATTCCACGTATCAACAGGTTCCAGGACGATAAACAACCACATGGGAATCCATGGATCCCACACATCTTCCTAACACAAACATACACGTATGTGACTGAAGAAGTGAACTAGCGTTGAAACGCCACCCATCCATTTTCACTTTTTCAGTGTATCCTGCGTAATCGTTGCACTTGTCACAGCCGTGATTTGGTCTTTCTATAGTCTTAAGGAATCTGGTCATTGGCCAACCATTTTTGTGCGTTATGTCTTTAGTTACCATCATTACTACTTTTGGACGAGCGATACACACAAATCCCCGCCTCTCAGTGTTAATTTTTGGGGTATTTCGTAAATCCCATCCAACCTCCATCAGTTTGAACAACCATGTGGCTTTATGCATACTGGCTGTACGAAAGCTGCAGTTGGCGAGTAGATAGATCTTCCACATAGCAGCCAAATGAATACATGGGACTGGGCCCAGTTACCGTCCGCTGACCGGGAAATTTATCTAATCTAGCCCTACAGAAGAACAGCTGTGACCCAGCTTTCCAGGTGGCAACGTTGCGGACCGCAGCACTAGCTGACAACGGTTTCAATCTCGTATGGGTCGCAGGTTCCCTCAAATTGTGAATATGTTTTGACGCCGGTCGCTTTCAGGTTGCTAAAATCATTTTAGGCCCTACGCCGTGGCCAGTCCCCCAGCCATCTGGAAAATTACGGATAGGATTGAACGTTCACTAGTCACCTCTTAGCGACTAGTCAGACCTTAGGTTATGGATATCAGCTGCAACTTTACTCGCCAGGCCGAATAGTATAAGCTCTCTGTAGTCCAAAATCCATAGGCGCTCTCTGTCTAACTCAAAAATTCACACGTTCTGGGGTACTCGGCCTTTATGAGGCATTTTAAAGGGCTAAGTGTGATGAACAATTTAAGAGTATTATCCAATGGCTATGAGCGAAAATGTACCCACTTGGTTGGAGATTACCCCAGTCATTGGTAGCGATCAGTCAGAACTGGCTCCTCCGTATCTAACTGATCCCAAATGTTCATTAGGGTGCCATTAAGTTCCCTTATTTGTCCACTGTTGTTTGGTGTACTCATGGATGAATTACCTCTGCGAAAAACAGTCATCCTGAACAGGTTCACAGAAGAGCTACAAAAAGGGCACAAACCTAACGAGAATCACCTTGACATCCCTCAGCTGTAGCTAACCCAACGCAGTTAGATACCCGAGGATGTGACTTTGGTGAAGCACGATAGCCATGGTCTCCCTATTACAGTGAATCCGTTTCAAACCACGACAAGAAAGCCGCCATCAAAAGTGGGCATGTAATGGTGGAGTATCCAGCGGCATGAACCAAGTTCCATGCTGGTTAGTTCGCATTTTGGTTCTGCAAACTGAGTTTTCATCTGAAGCTGTGTCTGAGAACTACAAAGGATATCTTCAGAAGCAGGCGCCCCAAAAGTGTACGTCGTATCCGGTGTGAGGCACTGAACACCTGTTGCTAGTTAAGAGTAATGCATGGCATAGGTGGGGATTTTCCGACAAGGAGTGGGATCATGGTGGACATATGGCTTCCAAGAATCTACGAGACCTCCTGGCGTGGGTTGGTAGAAAGCTGTCCCAGACAAAATTTATCCAGCAAGCCATGTGAGTGAACAAAGTGAATTATTTTCGATAACTTCTCCTCCAGGGCCCAGTAATAACCAATTCTGCCATTAAAACTCACACGAGCTTTTTCCGAAATGACTTTCTAAACTGCGTAGTGCTATTTACAACCTGACGAGCGAAATCTTAATCTTGTTGACGCCCAACTCATCAGTACGTATACCCGGCTGTAGGGTCCGAGGAAGAAGTTATCGAGAAGATTATTCTCTGTTCACTCAAGTGGCTTTCGAATTGTAGTAGGAACTTTCAGTGACTTGTCCAGAAACTTGACAAACTCCTAGAGCCCATATTGAGTTGCGGCTACGAGAAAAGCTACCAGCCAGTGGGAACCTTTTCGAAAAGACCCCAGTCAAGAAAACCTCTCGCTATAGCTTTGACACAGCCTAAGGGAACATAAACCAGCAGTACTTACCGATGGCTTGAATAGCCCCAAGGGTTATAGGAGGTAAAATTAAGCCACAGATTGGAGTAGGCCACCTTGTAGTTCTGCAAACTTTATGAAAAGTTTTTGTGACAGAAATCGCTCACCTGTGGTGAAACTGCCTGGGGATGCCCTACGTGGCCTGCTATGGAACGTCTTTCAGCAATCCTCAGATCCGCTAGTTAACAAAGGTTAGGAGAGACCTTATTCCCTGCTCCATTCTTAAATTGTAAGAAAGGCAGAATCCGCAAAGTCGTCGATATGCACCTCTCCACCATTATTGTCAGTTGTAATAAGCAGCCTTAATGACCACCGTTTCAACAAATAATGAGCCGTTCTTGTTTTATTGTCTGTCCTACATTTCGTGAATAACCTTTCTTGGAGTCTTCCCTCCAGCCTCCACTGTTCTCTGATGGCGATAGTTTGTGGAGAGCAGTGAAATCGGAAGGGGCCCAAAACGGGCCGTAAGATGACTTCAGGACTCTCAGTTAGTGGGTGAGAAGTAACCGACCAGCATTTAAAGCCAGCGAATGCTGGACAGTGTCTTTCCCACTGCTGACTTGCGGAATGTATTTTATTGTTGTACGCACCTTTCCTAACCAATCATAGATAGAGGTCTGGGTGTGGAATTAAGTGACAACCTGAGCTCTGGTTCAGACTATCTACAAGGAGCCGTGGGAGCCCATGTGGTACTGCACTTTATAAGCACAGTAATGGGTCTCATCACTCCGTAGCTTCCTGAAGCTCCAGAAAGCCTGCATACAACCCCACCGAATGATTTGAAACTGAGGTGCACCAACGCTTCCGGAAATAGACGTGAGCCACAAAACGTATTTTATGGATATAACGAAAACGATACGAGAACGGACCAGAGGGTCTAGGTCCTGTAACTTTCACTTTCTGTAGCTTACCTAGTGACTTGTTAGTTGTTAGTAATATACCAGGCGATCCAAGTCATTGGAGCCCAAAAGTACCACCTGAAGGTCACCGTGATTATCCTCGCGGAAACCTAAGCACAATGACCCATCAAGGGGGCAACCACGCTTCCTTCCTCCATGAGACTGGGATAAGTCCATCGCGCTACGAAAGTCCTTACTCTGCCTGTCAGTGGCTTCAAAGGGAGACTGAACAGTTTCACGGAGAAGCGAAGATTGTGCTGACCTAGTTTTGGGGCGAATTAGTTTGAAACACTTCACTTACGCCCCATCTGTCCAATACCTTTTGTTCCCTTCACACGGGTACCGTTTCACTACCATTATGGGTACAATTCAGTCCATTATACCTGTAACATACCACCTACCTCTCCAGTTACGGTCTCATTGCTAATATCATTACTGCTCCTACCTCCACTATTCGCACGTCGGTATTCCGTACTTTCTTCCCTCTCCGTTATTCTATGCTGTTTAACGCAGTTCATTTCGATTCTCCAGACCACTATCTTCTCTCTCCTACTAAGTCAACAGGGGTTTTCGTTCCTCTTTTACCTCATCCCTCTCTCCTTTGTCTCATTTGGTGATCCTATTCTCGTTATGTTTTTAAGACCAACTCGAAAAAGTAGCTGGCCACCAGACATTTGCAGATTACACATGCAACACAATTTCGTGACAAGCCATACATCTGTTAACAAGTTTAACCAACATCCGACCGCCCGTAGGAACCACTAGAGCAATGGCAAACTATTGGCTAGATCTGCTACAAAGAAACCCAGCAAAGGTCCGAAGTTGTGTCACAAAACGCAGTAGCAAGAACGAAGAAGTCAACTAGTATACTCGAGTTTGTAAAACAGGGGAGTGGATAGGCCTGTTGCATCGGCATCCACTCAAAACCTGGAACCATTCAACGAGACCTGAAGGTAAGTTCGAAGAAATCAAGTGGTTTACACAAGGTCGTAAGAAGACGTACGATGGTGAATTAAAACAATAGGAGAAAACTTAATTATGATAATCAACTCTCTCCCGAGGTTTCTTGATATCAGACAATTACTATGACTGATTTTCCTATAACAAAGATACGAGATCTAAGGAATCGCCTTCCGCTAATACTTCGGATAGAAGTTTTGTTTTACTACTTTGGAGCACTGACTTTCTCATTTTTGTAGATTTTGACTTTTGTGGTAGTTTTCGCTCACTGCTCTTAGAATTACTAGTAATTGTACTCTGTATTTGAATGGATCTGATTAATGATGAAGAAGTTCAGCGGTGGTTGAAGTTTTCAATCAAATCTTTTGCAAGGAAAATCATCCCCACTTTTTATATCGTGGTCTTTGTTATAGCCCACAATTATGCGATTTCGTCATGACGTTGTGCATGCATTTAAAAGCACCATATGAAGTCATCTACAAAACCATTGAAATGTTTGATAGGTTTGTCTTTCTACACTTTTGGAGTTTACCAGTTGAAAAGTGCATAGAAAGTTTCGACCAACCTTTTGTGCCACAAAAGAAAAAAATAATGCTATTTCTCTTCACTGTTTTACAGGTATCTACAAAATTAGTCTACAGGCACAAAATTCTGAAGACGTCTGATGCAGGAAAAATAATGCAAAAGCTAGGATATATGTTTACAAGGAAGGAAATACTAAGTTCGGAGTTATGTGTGCTAGGTACCTTACAAGATTCACTTATGTGTCGAACTCTAGAAGAGTGTGTAGAATTTCTCGGTGTTGTCTTCAGAAATCAGGACAGAACAGTAAGGTTCACAATGAAGAACCAAGTTTTGTTTTATGTTTACTGTAACTACAACCGCTTGAGTATAAAATTACGAAAGTATCAGCTTCTTTTCCAGTCATATACTCAGACAGTTTTTTTGCTTGGTTTTTCTATTTTGCTTTCATGTTTGGTGCTGCAAAATCAGATACAGAAACTGGAGTCTCTTCAGTCGGTCGTGAAGTATCTAAATATTGTCAACGAACAGGACATTCAGAAAGTATCATTTATTATTTTAACTTCAATTTAAAAAAACTTTTCTAACTGAAAGAAGCTTTCTACTCTAATATGGTTTATTTTTGTGCACGACAACTCGGTTTACAATTTGCATCGATTGCTGAGAGATCTCGGTGACAGTTGGTTTTGACATGCATGACTTTTTTAAATAGTTCAGTTGTATTCTTCAAGACATCAGCATTTATAGCCTCACACTTGACTGCTCGAACTGTAAAATGATTTTCTGTACTCGTTGACAAAACTTGTCGCTGCAAAGCTGCTGTTTAAATAATTATGACTGTTTTATTTCAGACAGCATGTGTGACGGCACGAAACTCTCAGCACTTAATATTTCAGCAAACCGATTCCCTGTACAGAATTTTAAACGAAATAATTGTTGTAAATCAGCTTCTGGTTTAGACTAGTGAGTGAATAGAAAAACGTGTGAAATTTTAATGACTAGTTTATTCAGCAAGTGAATACCTGAAATTCAACACAGATGCCTTACGAATAGCAGCGTGTTGCATTTTCATGTATTTATAAGACCATTTCTTACCGGCGCAAGGTTTCTTCTTTGCTTTGATGCTGGCTTACAAAAACTACAGTTTTAAAACGTTCTAAAATGTGAGAGAGTGCAGGGCGTGTTTCAAAAGCATGAGTAGAAGACTAAAGACTGAAAGGGAAGATTTTGATAAAATTAATTCTGTGGAAACTTTTCGGTGGCCCAGTGTTAAGCATGCCGCCAGATGTTCGTAGCTATTAACCAATTATTTCCAAGATATTTAGTAGTTACGTAGGCTGTTTTACTACATTCGTGGTGTAAAGCATAGATATACCAAGATCTGTGGACAACATCCTGGCTACTTTAGTTTGCATATTTTTGCCCTAATAAATGTTTTGACTTCTTGTTGATTTGTAACTACTAATTTCCTGGAAAACGCATGAAAAACCTTTAGGCCTCATAATATTGCACTTACCCCTGTTTATACTTCAATCGTCTAAAAATTATCAGGGGTTCCTTCTTGACGATTATGGCCTAGCCTTCATAACTTTTGGCATTATTTTGTTTTTTTCTCATATCATTAGGATTTGGTTACTTACGGTGTTTTTCAACAGATGGAAGTTATTAGTTGCACATTTTTGCAAGAAAACTGAGAAGAGTATGACTGAGTGTATAAAGGTCTTGATATTTTATACCACCGTTTTTCTTCTTACAGTGCTCTTGTCATTACCGGTACCCGAGGGCCAAAAATACCAACATCTAGTAGTTGACTCACTTACATCTTTTGGCATGTAAATATTGCAAGCTGAATATTGTAAGCAACTTATTTGTCACCTTTCTCCATACATATTCCAGTATTTTGATTCACTTAAGCTTATCATAGTCCTTTAAAACAAAAATGTCAGGAGCAAGTAAACACAATTATACCCTTCTTTCTATTATTGAATGACACTTTGAGTAAACAAGCCACTTGTACAAATAAATGTTGATAGTAATTTGCTTATGGGGATCAGAATTATATCACATAATTAGTTTAAATTTAAGTAGTTGCTCTGAAGATGCTTGAAACGGATTTCACCCGAAATATAATAGGTCGATTTGAAGCGGTGATCATAAACAACGACCTGAAAAATACTAAAGTAATAGGGATGTAGCAAAATATTTCTGGGTGTATAAACTAACACACAGAGAGCAATCAGCTGAAAACTCACCAAAGTACAACCATTTAAAAAGCCGAAAATATTTTCAATACAAAATAAAAGATACGATTGAAAAGAACCAAAATGCAGTTAAGTTAGATTTATAGATCACTCATAGGGTACATATAGACTAATAAAGTGTGGAAACACTATACAGCTCATAAACAAACAAATAGTTTGGTAATATGAAGTAGACGGATTAATTAAAAGAAAACGCAAGTGCTGTATAAAATGTCGAGATCACAAAATTCCAAGGACCAACTCACAGGTATCTTGGAGAAAATGAAGGATGATACATCACTTTCCTCTGATTTGAGGGAACACATTCAACCCGTTTGTTCAGTAATTCCTTGTCTGCATGGATTGTCAAAAATGCAAAAGTCAGGGTTACCTCTTCGTCTAATTTCGTATATTTCAAGTTCTTCACACAATTATATTGTGGAGTAGTTGGATGAAATACAAGAGCCAGTTAGAAGACACGTATCCCGTTATTCTATTCGTGGTACGTGTCAATTTATTGGTGGCAATAAGGATACTGACATCATTAGTGAAGTCATGCTTTCTTTAATTGCTACCTCATTGTTTACCAGTGTGCCACTCACTTAAATTGACTGTTACATATACGGTTACGTGGATTCGCGTGATGTAAAAGTAGTTCTAAAAAACAGCCCGAGAGGGCCATTTATGAAGCTTAATTTTAATATGCTATTTTCTTTCAGCGATGATATATACTGGTAGGATGAAGGGATGGCAATCAGATCTACATTACTGCACTTGATTGTATATTGTTTTACATCAAACTTGTAAAATTCTAATTTTAACCAAGTTTGGAGTTATTTTAACTTCTGCTGAGATACATGCATGATATATTTGTTATTTGTGATACAGATATCTATATGGATAATATTCTGCAAGCGATCAACAGTTATAAATCAATGTTAAAGTTCACCCAAGAGAAGGAATTTTCATCATTTATTCCTTTTCTTGAAATGCCGATTGCAACAAGCAGCGATGGGACACTAGGATGATCCATCTACTAAAACCTGATCATAGGTAATGAAAACTAATTCAACCGTTCTGCTATCATAAACAAACATTTGTTGCGCACATTGTGTCCAATTTGAACTTGACTTCATGAGAAACACGCTTGAAGAATATAGCTATCCAAGCCAAAATTTAAATGGCAAAGTGAGATACGCGAAACCAGTAATCCACTCAGATCTCAAAAAACTATGACCATAAACCTGGAACTCAAAGGTCAAGCCTAATCTACATTTAGTCATCTGAATCTTTTCCAATAAAATAAACCGTAGAAGGTATAGGTAAATGTTTTTCTGGATTACGATTTCTGTTATTAGTCCATGCTTTCTAAAACTACACCCCAGCCCCTCAAGAGAAGTTTATTCCATAAAAAGGCAAATACTTAAAAGTTCAGGTTGCCGAATAAAGTTATAACTGTTATAACTATGGGCTTGTGAATTTTTTTGTTCATTTAAAGCGGTAAGTCTTTATATTGAACAGAAGTCAGATAAATTCAACAACAAAAAATATCACAGAATTATGAAGATGTGAAAGATAAGATTTTGTATCACTGGTCATCTACAAAAGGAAACGAACTCAAACCTGGTAGTGGATGGCTGACACTTTCGGCCCAAGAAGTGAGGTTCCTAAGTTCTATCACTGGTGGGGTCGTGGATTTGCGATGCTGAGAAGTTCCACAATAGGATGCAATAGCTATCCATTGCTCCCAGTTTTTCGATGGTTCTCTAGCTGGTGTCAGCCAGTGACGGATACTACCTTTAATAGAAGATCGAGTTACAGAAGACCTAATTTCTCAAGATTATGTAACTATTTATAAGGCAAACAGTAAAAAGTTGCAAAAATATCACTACAGCTTCTTTCGCCAACCAATATCTTGATTTTAAAAGTCTAAAGTTAGTCTGGAGAAAGTTCTGCGACTTTCAGAAAACTTATATCCCTTTAGGGATTTGAATGTGAGCCACTTAGTGGTGAAGTCTCTCTTTAAAACTGGAGTATATGCATAAATTTGTCACCAGAGGATTTCATTGCACCTGTCCAGTCCTAAATCTTCAATACTAATCGAAGTCTGTTGATGAAGTTTGCTACTTAGCTATGTCACATGACGCTGTGGTGCACTATATTTTGGCATCAGTTAGTTGGAAAACCTGATGAAGTGACTACACCGCACACTTGGTCAACAGATCTTAATCAGTACTGGTCACTTAGTAGCTGACAGCTACTTCGTTACCATCCAGTCATCTATTCCTGCGTACAAAAATACATTCAGCAGCATGGTAATCTATCACGTTCAAGATACTCAAGACCAAACTAAAGTAAGTCAATTTCCATCATCCAGTCCTAAAAGAAGTTAGTCATGGCCTAAATAACTCGATAGTAATGTCTCTGACCGCAGTTATGGGGACAGGGCTCCCTCTCTCCCAGTGAACAATGGTTCTCTGGAAACAGAAGATACGCCTTGCCAATGAAAACTGAAAAGAAGGAGGCCTAGTTTAAGGGGTTCTCGTGTACTGCTTCCAGCTATCTAATTTCAGTCAAAGTGTATTGTGCTTCCAGATTGGCAACCACATTACAAAATGATAGGCAAAATTTGGTCAGTACTTAATTCTAGATAATATGAAGTCTGCTATTCTACAGTGACCAGTCAATGTTGGTTAAGCCAATGTTTTAGTATGCTTCCAACATGTTTAGTTCACAAAGATCTTTACTAAACGGTGAAATAATTTAGGCACCTTTGTTACAGTCGTACAACTAGTTACTGATGGACATCACGATTACTTGAAATACGTCCACGGGATAAAAACAAAGACGTAAAGATGGCGAAACTTGTCAGTAATCTAAATAAACATCAGGGTGGTCAGATTTCACAGATATAAAGCGAAGACATGCACAAGCAAGAATTGTAAAACTAAACAGCAAAAAACATATGATAGAGATAAAGGAGATGTAGACAGTCATACACGGTTCCTTATTCAGATGTTATGAAGGCGTTATTTTATCTAGCATCCATTCCCATCATTTTCGAGAAAACAGTGTTAAATAAATTTCTTTATATTTTCTCATTAGTTTGCCTAGTAGAAAAGCCTGAGATGAACTCACAGTATGCCTCCAGGATAATGCGTACACAAATCACGAATTTTCATATATCAGCATGATATCATTCTCATATTCAAGGTAAAATAATCACTGTTTCCGCTTCTGATCCACATCATTATCATACACCTCCTTCAAGGCTGCTCTAAGAATCTCATGGATTGTAAGGCAGACATAAGTCAACGTGGAACCCGACAGACCAGTATATCGGGTCAAGTTGCTGTGGTTCACAATAGCAAGCTAGAAAGAAAAGCATAGAAAGTGAAATTAAGTCGGACAAATGTATATGAAGAGATGGAATAAATAGATAAAATTGAACGAAAACGTTAGGACTTTGAAGAGGACCAACAGTGTATACAACGGCGCCTTTGTAACCTATTTTCGATCATATCACTAAGAGTCTCCGACCATTGGTTCTTATCTTATAGAAAACCCCAACCGGGAGACTTACAACTCACACGGCTTAGACGCTCAGTTGACTACTTCATTAATGAAAATCACTTCTTGATTTAGCCACTTTAACCTTCTTCTAACCCAGCCCGATTCTGACTAACATCG